GGTCATTTTGGTTTCATGAAGACCCTACACCTGGTTAAGCGGCAGTTCTGGTGGCCCTCACTAAAAAAGGACATTAAGACTTATGTAGCTAGCTTCCCAGTTTGGAAGATCCCCTTCAAGGAGGCACACCTGATGCAGGAAGACCTCAAGGCCTACTGCCTCGCCCTGCAGAGGAAGGTGGAGGCCTGGTGGGCGCGGCCCCCTGGAGGAGGCAGCCCCGGCCAAGGCACCCCCCAGGATGGAGAGGTAGGACGGCGGCTGGACCAGGAGGGGTGCCCCTGAGCCAGGTATGGCAGCAGGGGAGGGCGGGGAATCTGTGGGGAAAGCAAGGGAGAAAGGTTGGTTGGGGGGGAGGCTGTGGGCAGCAGTCAAGGGGAGCCTGCTGGACCTGATGGTCGGGGTCCAGCTGTAGCCACTTAAAGGCCTGTGGACCGGCGGTGGAACTGAAAATGTATTACTAGCAGTTCTGTCAGTGTGGCCTGGTGGTGGGGGCGCAGGGGAAGGATATACTGCAAAATCCCCCTTCCCTCCCCACCCACTGACCTGCTTTCCAGCTCCGTTCTCCTCTGCAGGGCGACCAAAGGAGACCCAGCTGGGAGTCAGTGGGACGCAGAGCCAGTCAGAGGTTGCTTTCTGAACTGCTCAAATGTTCTCACCGTTCTCCAGAACTGGTCAGAACCTGCTGAATACACCACCTCTGCTGTGGACTTCAACTCCCAGAATTCCATAACCAGCTGTTGTGGCCAGGGAATTCTGGGACTTGGAAGCCCACAGGTCTCCCAAGTGGTCACGGTGGGGCTCCAAAGAGGTGGGGATGCCCCAGGTCTCTCTCGGCTGAGAGACAGAGAGAGAGCAGCCAGGCTGGCATTGCTCGGTGAGACTCCCACGGGCACCACGTTGGCTGCCTCCATCCTGGGTGGTGCCTGTCTTTGCGGAGGACCAGCCCCCTCCCCCCCAGCTGAATCCATGGGTCCCTCCCCCTCTGGGGATCCCCACTCAGGATCCGATTCCTCCTCCTCGCTCTGCTGCAAACGGGGCTCCTTCCCTGGATGGAGGAAGCCCTGCGTTTGGGGTGAGATCTCCCTGACTCAGCCCTCCCCACCCTCAGCTGTGCTGGTGGTGATGGAGGAGTGGGAGAAAACTTCCCCCCTCTTCACCCCCAGGCCATTCTTCACAGCTTTCCTTTTGTCTTTCTCCTTTTCCCTGGGCCTGTTGGGTGCCCTATTGGACGAGCCCTCTCTTCTGTGGAGCCCAGCAGCCAGTGGCCAGAGGGAGAGTGGGAGCTCTAGAGCCCGGCCTGGTAACTGTCCATGTTGTCTGTCTGCTCACCTGCTGGCCTTCCTTCTCTCCAAGCTAACGGGGGGAACCTTCTCTTCAAGCAGCCGCTGCACCTGGGGATGCTGAAGTTGGAGGAACCAAGCAGCCGGGCCTTTCCTCTCTGGCTCTCCCGGCGACACCTGGGGCGCCAAAGTAAGAGGCCCGTCCTGGGACGGTAGGGGAGGGAGCGAGGGGGGACTTCTGGGACCGTTCACCCAAAGGGTCCTTAGCTTTCGTTTCCCCAAGCACTTCCTACCCACTAGTTCTTTTTCCTTCAGCCCTGAGACGACCACCGGCCCTCACGGCCTGAGGCTGCTACTCAGGGTTTAGTTTCTGGCTCTGGGACGCAAGTGAGAAGCCGCAGGACATCTTTTGTTGTCCATTTTTCAGCCCCCCAACCGGAGAAGCGGCACCCGCTGTCGGGGCTGGGCGCTTCCAGTATTTGGCACTGCGAGCAATCCCGCACTCCCATTTCCAGCAGAGGAAGGACTGGTACGAGAACACCGACCAGGACCTGCGCGATTACGTGGTGCAGAGGCTGTGAGTAACCCTTTGGGGTTGCGGGGGGGGGGGGCTGAACTGTGCTGGGCTGCAGCTTGGAAGGGGCAGTGAGGAAATGGCAAAGAAAAGCGGGGGGAAAGCCTCTGATGTTTCGCGGGGAGAAATATAAGAAAAATAGACGTGTCCGATTGCTCGGCCTTTTGTTCTGCTCCCAACATCTCTGTCTGCTGGAGTTTTTGGGGTTCTGAACAAAATCCGGGTTCCCTGACTTTCCACCCTCCTTGCAGCATCTTGGGGACTATAGAAATAGTGTTGTTTTTAAATACCTCCATGGAGATTTTCAGTCCTCCAGGCCTCCCATGCTTCTCCCAAGGGTGCTTTTTCAAGAGGAATCTGCCACCTCCTGAAAAGGCACCATCACCACCACCACCACAGTCCATCCATCTGGCCGCCATGGCGGCTGCCGTGCCCATGTTTTTGCCAGTCCTGCTGAAGGCCGGCGGTCTTTCCACCCCACCCTGCAGGGTCCATGCCATCTTCCCCACTCCTGACTTGGCCCTCCTGAAGGATCACCAGGTGGAGAAGGTGGTGTCCTACGCCAAGAAGGTGGAAGGGGACGTCTACCAGTCGACCAACCACTGGGTAGGTGGCCAGGCTCTCCTCCTCCTCCTCACCTGGAAGGAGGCCCCTTCTCCCGCGCTCCTACCCAGCCGGGGCTCCCCACCCGGGACTGACTAGCCAGACCTGGGCTTCAGGTGGTTTCTCTCTGCCTGGGCCTTGGGAGGGTCTCCCCACCCAGCCTTGTCCCGCCCCCCCGGCAACCTCACCTCCCACCTCCCAAGGGGAAGAGCCCAGACAGAGGCCTCCAGGGACCCCTCTTGAGCTGGAAGGGGGGGCGATCTTGGGTGCTCTTTAAGAGCTGAGCTGCTGAAGGCTCTGCTGAGGCCCAGGGAGGAGACAGCCATCGGCACAGCTCTAGACTTGCAACAGTCTGTTTAGCGACCGGTCGAAGTTACAGCGGCATTAGAAAAAAAAGGGACATGACTGTTTTTCACAGTTACGACCATTGCCGCATCCCCTTGGTCACGTGGTCAGCATCAAGGCCCTTGGGAAATAACTTGCATTTATGACTGCAGCGTCCGGGGGGAGGGTGTCACCTGATCTCCGGGCAAGCAAAGGCAATGGGAAACTCAGATTGAACGACCATGGCACTAACTTAACTGCAGTGATTCACTTAACAACTGTGCCAGGAAAGGTTACAGAACAAGGCAAAATCCACTTACCCGCCACCCGGTCCTTCAGGGCTCACCCGGGATGGCCGAGGGCTCCTTTCCCCGCTGTCCTCTGCCTGGCCCAGCGGACGCAGCTGCCTGCCCTCTCCCCTCCACTGCCCTCCTTCCCGGCCTGGGACGCGGAAGGGGAGGACAGAGGCTCCGCCTTCCTCCCCTCTTCCCAGTTGCTCCTCCGCTGATTCTGCGGCTGCAACTCTTCTGGCGCCGCCTTTGGGCGAGAAGTTCCCGCCTGGCTCTGAGGTGGAACCGTCGTTGCTTCCCAGGACGTGTATTGCTGCCTCATTATGGTGAAGCTCTTCAAAATAGAGAAGGAACTGAGGGAGAAGAGGGCCCTCCGGGGCCACAAGCAAGGCATCGCGGATGGCCAGGCCTCGCCCAGGGGACCAGCCCAGCCTGCAGTGCCTCTCGGTAAGTCCTCCGCGGGGAAGCCAGGGGAAACGGGGAGACCTCTGGGTCTGGGCGTGTCTCGGGAACCGGGGGAGACTCGTTGCCTGCTTTTCCTCCTCTGGAGAAGTGCCCTCCTCACTTGGGTAGATGCCAGCTTGCTATGGACGGTGGGGAGGGGGAGGGAGCTGCCCTGGAACCCGTTGTACTTTCCTGAGGCATCAGCTGGTTGTCCCAAGGCCAGGGGCCGGGAAGTGGAATGCAACGGCCCCTCCTGATCTACCGAAACCATTCGTTCGAACGTAACTGGGCAGTAGAGAGATGACGGGGGAGAGGAACGAGGAAGGGAAAGTTAATGGGGGGAACTTTCGGGTGCAGATTTTTAGTTCTGGCTTTGCTGCGTTGTATCCCCTCGTCTCTCAGTAAAAGTTTATCTCTCGCCCAGCTG